GGGGGGGGGGGAGATGGAGGGGTATGGGAGAGAAAGGACAGGATGAGAAAAAGGAATGAAGATGTGATATATACGTGTACTAACCCCACACAAGGGATGCAAACGCCATGTATATGCAAATATGTGCTAATAAAAATAATAATATAATGAAAAAAAATCCGGTCTTTCTTTGATAACCGCAGCACCCTGGTAGCTGTGACTCTTTAGCATCTGCTGTGCTCCCTCGAGGGGACACTCCACGAAGGGGAGGCTGGGGACAGAGGTCCCTGGTAAACGTGGGCAGACAGGTGTCTTTTGTAACTGCCAAGGTAACTCTGCTTTTGTTGCTTTGGTTTGGACAAGTGGGTCCATCTCAGGTTGCTTAGCTTATTATCATTTAAAAATACAGCTTGCATTTTAAAAAGCTGTGTAACGCACATGTGTGGATGCTGCTACTGGCCTCAAGGGTCAGCGGCCAGGCAGGACTGGGGACTTCAGCCCGAGCACAGTAATGTGTTAGACTCTAAGAAACTAGACAACCACAAAGACTCCACAAGGTGTGTCACCGCTCAGCCTACACCCTGACTTCGGACGAGGATACGTGCTAGGGCTCCCTGGGGACAGAGTGGGGGAGAGGGTGGATGCTTCGTCCGGGCTCCCACCACTGGCCAGACGAGCGGAGCACCGGCCGCCAGGCCAGGGGCCTTTCCTGCACCTGGCTGTGTCTGTTCACATACTTGCCATCCGAGCTGTCCAGGAGGCTGCAGTAGGTGGCGATCTCACACTCCAGGTGGGACTTGGTGTCCAGCAGAATCTCGTACTCCTGGTTCTGTCTTTCCAGGGCCCCGCGGATCTCCGCCAGCTGTGCCTCCAGGGTGTGGATCAGACTCTGGATCTGGGACAGCAGGGCCGTGTAGCGGGCCTCCGTCTCCTCCAGGATGCGTTCCTGGGAATCTCTCTACCAGACAGGAGGAAAGTCAGGTTAGGAATGACGACTCCATTAAGTCCAAGCCATTGCTGAAGTCACTTTGGACAATGGTGTCTTTGTGACAGCACACGAATGGATCTCCAAACCCTTGTATTATGTCCACCCAAATAAATCCAAGAACAAATCATCAGTCACGCTAAAGCTCACTTTCCTTCATCCTCTCTCCCTTCTTTCTGACCACCTGGTAATCTCTCACCACAGTCTCCTACTTCTGGGAGGAAGAAAGTTTTGGACTCTTTTACCACCAGGCATTAAAATACATCACCACGATACCCTGTTCAATACGTGTTTGCACCTTAAAACAGAAGTGAGCAGTGTTTACTCATAAACACTTCCTTCCCTAGGTCAATGTCTTTACAGGCAAAACATTAGACTTGAAACTTGGATGAGTAGCATTCTTTCCTGTTGAGTACCTGGTGACAATACCAAGCCAGGGGCAGGGACTTCCTGCACTCCCCAGCAGGGCTCTTGGGTGGAGAAGCAGCGGAAGGAGTCAGAAGTTGCCTCGGGCTTAGGAGTCTGAATTTTGGTTCTGGCTCTTGCTTCTTTTGTGGCTGGGACATGTCAGTTAGCGCTGTAGTAACTCAGTTTCTTTCTACTTCTAGAATGTGCGTAAGATGACACTTGTCTTGGATTTGTCTTGGGGGAAAAATCACCTTAGCTCTTGCTGCTTCATCAGTAGTCTTAGCTGACATTAATTATACAACCTCCCTCATAAGACTGTTTTATAATTCCACTACGATATCTTATAAAATGCATTGCGTATAATAAAATGTTCTCCTAGTGTTTCCCAAAGTGCAATCCGGGGATCACGATTACTGTGAGATGCTGTTAAAAAACAAAAGAGGGCCACAGTCAACTAAGTTTCGGAGTGCTGAGTACCACCTAGCCCCTTCTCGTGGATTCACGGTGTAGATCAGCTCACTGGCGCGTTCCAGCAAGCCATCCTGTTTAACTTTTGCTTAACCCGGCACTCCCCAGACTTATTTGAGTGTGAAGTCCTTGTTTCAGCCATAGACTGATTCCAGGACAGAAGATCTTTGGTTCTAAGGCACACAGTTTGGGAAACATTGCAAGACACACGTGTCAGGGGCTGTCACCACCACTGCTGTCTTGGGCTCGGTGGGCCTGCGGGTACCATTCGGTGCTGGGCCTGCAGTTCAACCTCCAGGGCGTTCACGTTGCGTCTCAGGTCGATGAGCTCCGCCTGGCCACACTGCTGCTGGTGAGAGCCCGTCACCGCCTGCTGGCTCAGCTCCTCCATCTGAAACGCAAGGGCCACGGGAATCGTGGAAGGAAAACACGGCTGACAGAGGCGCCCGTGGGGACGCGTCAGCTTAACGCTTTGGACTTTTCTACTCGCCCCACCTGGGTGTTGAACCATTGTTCCACGTCCTTACGGTTTGTCTCCATGAGGGACTCATACTGACGTCTCATTTTTTGCAGAATCTGGTTTAAGTCCACAGAAGGGGCCGCGGTCACTTCGATGTTGAGTCTGTCCCCAAGCTGGCACTGTAACGAACCGACTTCCTGTGGAATGGAGAAGAGCACAACGTTACCGGGTGGACAGGTGACCCCCGTGCTCTCCTTTCAGCCTCACAGCGATAATTTAGCTTAATCGTGCCTCAAACACAGCCCACAATAAAAGGATACTGGTTTACAGGTGTTACTGAGATTCCGCAGATAATTGAAGGCTGTTTCAGCTGTGAGTACGGATTCAAATATGTGCCAAAATAAAGAACTGACTAATGAGATCGGAGTTCCAAAAAAAACCAGGTCATTTTTAGGGATGGGTAGAGGAGGACTCAGCAGTAGAGCAGGAAGGGAGGAATCTACAGCGGGAGACCGCAGTCCCTGCCCTGCCAGTCCTGGCTTGGGCCAATACTGATCCGCACTGCCCGGAAGTGGCCGCAGCCTGTGCTCAGGGATTGTCTAAAAAGATGGGAAACCTGCGAGGACGGGGCAATTGGGGCAACGGAGGCTTTGGGGTGCACATGGCTCTGACACTCGTTGAACCAGTGGTTCAGGGAGCAGCAGGAGGTGCGGTGAGGGCCCAAGCCCACAGGAGTATCTGGAGGGGACGCCCGGGGTCAGCACCCTTCCACGGAAGCGGTGCTGATTTTAGAGGCAGCGGTGCGCGGATGCTCTCGGTCTTCCTCTAACCTCCTCGTGGCTGATTTTCAGGCTGAGCAGCTCCTCCTTCAGGGACTGTTCTCGTGCCTCCAGGTCGGCCTTCCCCAGGGCCAGCGCGTCCAGGATCTGCCGCAGGGCGTTGGCGTCGGCCTCCACCAGCTGGCGCAGGGACACCTCAGCTCGGTACCTGTGAATGCCAGACCCGAAAGACGTCATGAAGGGGACGTGCAGGTCCAGCCAAGCAGAACCTCCTTCTGCATTTTCCCTGGGTCTGTCATTTAGCATATTTCTAGGGAAGGTTTTGTTCTCTTGAGAGGTGAAACCATTTGATAGATACCACGATGTTGTTCTTATGCCCCAATGACCTGGAGCAATGCCACATTGCTATACTTTGAGCGAGGAAATTTATCCTTCTGCGTCAGCCTCCAGACTCAATGCAGTGTGAGAAGAGCCCCGGGTGAGGACTCAGGAATCCTGGGTCTGCGATCTGGCCCGGGCTTGTATTAACTGTATGCCTTTGGATAAGCAAATTCCCCATTAAACTACAATTTTCTCACTGTAAGTGGGGTGATCACATGGGAACCCTACCTGTTTTACTGAAGTCTTGCACAGGTAATTAATGGGCTAGGGCTCTGGGTGCTGTACACAGGCGAGGGCTGTGAACGTTCACTCTATATTAAGCCTGAAGTTCTCTCCTGGGCCAGTGCCAGCATACTAGGATGCAGGTGTGGGGGTGATATTACAGGCAGTGTTTAGGCCACACTTGGGGCGACTCCCGTCATGCACGGCAGTGAGGGGTGGGCTTACTTGGCTCGTAAGTCATCTGCGGTCAGTTTGGTGTTGTCGATTTGTGAGACCAGCCTGGAATTCTCAGCCTTGGTACACAAGATCTAGAATTAAGAAATCGCACACACAGATGAGACAAACACCAGGACCTCCTTTCAGAACCAAGGGGCTCGGCTCGTGTGTGTTTCAGGTAGCAGGGGAAGGCTAGTTAAGACTTTTCATGGGTCTTCTGAGCTCAAGAAGCTTGGGGAACTTTGGAGAGCCAGAGTTCTTGCTGTGTTCTTTGAAGATCAGCAAACATTAGTGAACTAAAAATGTTCGTGTGTCTTCCGGTTAAACTAAGCTCCTCAAAGGTAGGGATGTTTCTAGTTCTCTCAGATTTCCCCACGTTCTGGAACAATGGTCTGGGACATTGTCGATAGTGCTTAGCAGATATCCGCTGGACACATAATACCAAATAAATCTGCATATGTGGCAGTAGTACCTTACTCTGAACAGAACATTTCGGCTTGGTGTGAAATTACTGGAAGATGTGAAGATGATAAAATGAGCATAGCAGGAGATAAAGGTGGTGATGGTTGCAAATGGAAAAAAAAAAACTAAACTGCTCAGAAATGTATTAAAGCAGAACTTATTTTCTCAGAGCCCAGTTTTCCTCTTTTTATTAAAGAAATGGTAGCAACTGGTTGTTGGATGCATTCCGATCTTGAGCGATCTCGTAACACAGAATGGTACAGTGTATCTGTAGGACAGGGGGACACTGAAAAGCGGGAATGGTAATGCAAGGTGATAATTTCCCTCAAGAATTTTTCTTATTCTACCCCCCCCAAAAAAAACCATTCAGCATAGAAGGAACTAAAAATACTTAAAGTTTAGCAAATAACCTTTGCTCGGAGACCATCTGTTCCCAACTTGATTAAGTGGATTGCTGAGAGTCTTACCTTCCGCTGGAGTTCCTCAATGGCCGTGTAGTAGGACAGGTAATCGGGGCACAGGACAGAGAGCTCTTTATTGCTCTCTTCCTGGATTCCGCCTTCCAGGGCTGCATTCTCTTCCTCCAGCTCTCGCACCTTTTCCAGGTAGCTAGCAAGGCGGTCATTCAAGGTCTGCATGGTCTCCTTCTCGTGACTGTTGATTCCTTCCCAGTACCAGATGCAGCTGTCCGGACAGGGACAGCCAATGAAGTTGCTTATCAGGTAGATGGGGGTACAGCAAAGGCGAGGGCTAGAGTGGCAGCCCTGGCCCTCAGGAGATCTCAGGAGGTGGCTGGTCAGTTGGCAGCTGCTGTTAGAAGAGACTGTCCTAAAGTTTGTAATCCCAGAGCAGTTTTGGGGTGGGGTTGAGGAAGAAATACTTGCTGCACAGCCCTGGGTGTCCATAGCGTGTGCCCCGCTCAGTTTATTTCCACGACTGTGGTCACCAGCTCAGGAACCCTCAGCTGAGCTCGAATTCTAAGCCTGTTGGCCTTTTCCTCTTTGAAGTGCTTATATAGCCTCCGCTCGAGGTGGTGTCACCACAGTGGGATGTTTTCCTTTCTAATGTTTATATCAAATCCCACAGGAACACCTCATTAGTCTGCGTTTTACTTGGCTGGGAAGAACTACTTGTCTCATAAAAATGTGCATTGAGGCGGTTACTAAGTTATTACCCATCGCAACCAGCACTTGTCATTGGACCCAGAGCTTCACAGAGTGTCTTCAAAAGGTGGTGTCCTCACACACGGAACAGCATCCATTATTAAGCAGGTGTGAGTATATCGAGTTCGTTAAATCCTGGCTGACCTCTCCACCGTGATCCCAGCTTGACTAAGCGTGACTCCTTCCTTCTTTTCCTTTCTTCTCTGGAAAAGGGAAACTACTCACATCCAATAATTGCTGGGTAACTTAGAAATCAGTGTGGTATTTTGTCCCACCCAGCTGACTTTTGATTATTGTTTAATTGAATGGTACTCGGCAACAATAAGGAATGAGAGAGAGACTCTCCTCATATCACGGGAGAATCTCAAGAGCTCACTGAGCTGAAGTCAGACACCAAGGAGCCTGACAGGACGATTGTGTTCGTCTTACCTCAAGAAGAGGCCAGACTCACAGGGTGTGGGGGAGCGGGATAGTGGGGCCCTCTCTGGGAAGGGGAGTGGACTTAGGCCCTGGGGTCAGTTTCAAGGCTAATGCTCTCCATCTTGATATTGTCTCCCATGCCTCGGAACGGGTGGTGATGACTCGGGTGCATACGTTTCTCAACCTCACGGAGCTGCTCACTGTAAACTGCATTTATTGTGTGAAATTATCCTCTAAAGTACGGTTAACGTAAAAAGATTTGATACAACTGGGCCGCTCGGTGAAGTTCACCCTTTTTTCAGGCAACACTCAAATTTCAAATAGCTCAACCATTCAAAACACGAAAGATGAAAATCAGGAGTCCGCTAAGAGAAAATGTTGACTTCTCTGAAAAATTCAGTGACAAGTCTTTGTCCCAGTGACTGAAGATGAAGAAACCATAGAAAATCAATCTGACTCCACATCATAATGGTGTTTTAAATGGGTCAAAATCTGGAGAATGTTAGAAAAAGACTGGTAGGAAATATACCATAACGTTAACGGTGGAATTCCTTACAGTTTGTATTCATTAATGCCCCTGTTTTCTTGCACAGTTTTACATGCATTCCACAAGTTGAACTGATTGTGTCGCTTTCAGAAATAGAAAAGAAACCCCAAACTGCTCACGGCTTGTGTGCCTACACCTTTCTCTCTCTGTCACCATTCTTATTCTCTTGCACTGCGCAGGCAGAGCTGCTCCTCCTTTTGATGACTGACTACTTTATTTGTGAGACTGAGCAGGCTCCTCTGACTTCACCGGGAGTGCAGTCCATCTCTTAGCGTCTCTTTCTTGCCTCTTACACGTCTACTGTACTCTTTGCCACTTGGTCAATTTTCCATTTCCTGCAAGCACGTTGTTCCTGATTTTAAAATCTATCTAACCCATGATCGTGAAGGGCTTGCCCTGCGAGGCAGCGTCTGCCCTCTTTTCATTACTTAACTTTTTGTCAGCGCTGTAGGTATTTATCACCCTCGTTTCTCCACCGCCAGCTTATGCGTTACCGTTGGGCTGTCGGCTACTTGCTAAGTCACTCCGCACAGTCTGTCGTCTACCTTACGATAGTGTCATTTCCCACGCGGAGCACTCAGTGCTCCCTGTCTATGGGATGAAGTGAGGAAGACCCTCCAAAATCTTCATCAGCTGACATCACCCAGTGTCCCCAGATCCCACCCTCTGTACGAATCCTCGTCAGTCTCCATGTCTTCCCTCCCTAGCCCCTCCACAGCAGATCTCTTGCTGGGGTCCTCTTCACCTTTCCTCCTCTGTGTGTTTCAAGGCTGCTCTGGAGAGAACTCCCTACTCCCACACATCTGGTTCTCTTCTTCTTCGGGGCACAGGGAGGACCAGCTCTGGTCCCACTGCAGTGAGGCAGGACGTTACCAAGGCTTTGCTTTCTAGTTCAGTGCCCTCTGCCTCTTTCCTTGCCCTGGGGACTAAGAAATCGTGTTCAGGTGCTGCGATCACAGGTCCTTTCTCTTCTCTTCTTTTTCATACGTCATTTTGGGGCTTCTCAGCCACAAAAACTTAAATTTACACTCTTCCCCAGAAAAGCAGGTCTAGGGGGTGGGTAGAGAGTTGTTCTCTGGTGACTTTGTCCTGGGTGGAGCCTTCTGGGGGAAGAGGTGGCTCGGGACAGAGGAAGGTGTCTGGGACCAGCCCGAGCCCAGAAGCTAGCTGAGGGAGGGAACCCCTGTCCCAGCTGGAGCTCCAGGAAAAGCAAATAGTGTCATTTGCTGCCGCAGGACGGTCCAGCCAACGATGCACTGGAAGTGATGGTGGCCCTGTGGGATTGCATCGGAGTGTAATGAAAAGCTGTCTTCTGGTGACACAGTAGCCATCGTAATCTAGGTGACTCGTTCCTCACAGGAAACCTACTGCCCTGCCAGTGTGTAAATGATAGCATTATGCATGGTGTCTCGCATTTGGTGGGAATACTAAATGCCTACTCTATTGGCTTGTGCGTTTACTCCATGTCTTATCGTTATTTTCGCACGTACTCCTGCCTCAGAAGCGGAGCGCAGAACACTGTGCCAGGCCGGAAGCGGCCCTGCATCTCTCACGCCTGCCACACCTCTGGGTCGTGTGGAGATCACACGCCATGTGGTCAGCCGGCGTCGTCGCTTGTGTTAGCACACTTCACGATGCCCACAGTGGTGAAATCGCCTAATAATGCACCCTGCGCAGCACAGCCCTGCTGTTAGGGAGTACACGACTCTCCTCAGTCACGCCGGGAAAAGTAGGGTTCCCTGGATTATGAATGTTTCCTGCCGGCGAGCTTCAAGTTCACCAGTTTTTGTGAGAGTCCAGGGTGGCTGTACGTAAGATCACTATGCAAAGCTTTTGTGGCTGTTCTTTGCTCTTGGAGATAAGTGGTGATTATAATTTTTGTGTAATGCTAGGTGTTAGAATTATTGGCAGCTTGTTAAGCTATTTGTTGATGCTATGAAGATATATTCTTGCCAAAAATGAGCGCTGTCCTAGAGCAAGGTCTTGGAATTCCATCAAGAAATACAATTGTCAGCTGGGTGTGGTGACGCACGCCTGTCATCCCAGCACTCGGGAGGCTGAGGCAGGAGGATCGCTGTGAGTTCGAGACCAGCCTGGGCTACACAGTGAGTTCCAGGTCAGTCTCAACTATACAGTGAGGCCCTGCCTCAAAAAAAAAAAAATACAATTGTCTCTTACTGCCTGAAAACCTAGAGGGATACCTAGTACATATAGCCAAGCAGGGAAGGGTGAAATTCTTGCCTTCTGCAGTAAAGCTTCTCAGTGCTGTTTTGAGATATGAATCTTTCAACACCTGAAGTTCTTGCTTTTTGTGTTTCATTTATTCTTGGTTTATCAGCATCCTCAATTAATTTATTATGCACTGTTCGATTAACTAGAGAGTGCACAGCGATTCCAATCCATACGATAATAAGTTTGATCTGTAACTTTCCCATAACCTTAAGAACATAAATGAATAGGTACACAAATGTAAGTACATGGATACTGCTGGTAAAGTAGAAATATACCTACAGGCCATAGAATTTTGGAAGTTTCAGATCACTGTTGCAAGGTAGAAAGGAAAAGGCCATTTGGCCTGTCCGGGTGAGTCGTGGTCAGAAAGGCCTGCGCTTCCAACCCTAATACCATTTAGAGCAGAATAGATAACTCAGGGAGGGCTCAGATTTGGGAACAACCTTAATCATTAATAGAATGTACAGCAGGACATTATGCAAAGACAGCTGTGCAGGGCCAGAGGCTGTGACAACCCCCCAAGTGGACGCCCGATGGTAAAGATGTTTTTCTACTTTGGTTTCACTTTGATTTTACCCTGGCTAAAAATATTTCTAACTTCACAGATGCAAATAGATTACATCCTGGAAGGTGGCCGTGGGTATCCTTTTGATGGAAAATTTGCAAATATTTATTTGGAAATTTTATTACAGATACTGAGAAAACTGTTTGCAAGAGCATCTGTTAGTTACAACCTTCGAGCAAAAAGGAGACCAGTGGCAGAGGCAGAGCACAGACAGCCTGTGAGCTTCACCTGGGGGGGTCTTCCCAGTGGCCAGGGATAGGATTTTATAGCACTTCACTGTGACTTTTCTTCTGATTTTGTTGTCCGAAAACAAGCAGTGTTAGAACAATCTTTTGTGGGCTTATTCATCTGGAAAGCACTTTAAGTATTTTCACCACTTTTTGTTGTTAAATCAGGAGAGTTTACATAAAAATGATTAGTCTAAAATTTTAGGCCCGAAAGTTAACTTTATTTTAAATCTGCATTAAATGTTATTATTATGCCCAGAAGACAGTAATGGAAAAAATGAAGAGAAGTTTTCTCTAGCTTTCTACTACTTTTTAAAACCTTTTCCATTTTGAAATAATTATAAATTCACAGGAGGTTGTAAAAATAGGCACTGCAGGTCCTGCATGTCCTACTTTTCCCTGACAGCTACCTCTTGGTGAACCGTAGTACACTTGCAAAATCAGGGAACTGACCCTGGAGCACAGTATGTGGCTTAGTTTTACATAATATTGTTTCATATGTGTAGATTCAAGTAGCCACCCTGGCCCCCGAGATCCGGAAGTATTCAGTCACGGCAAAGATGTCCTTCATGCTACGCCTAATTTGTTCTCCATCCCTGTAATTTTGCCTTATTAAGAATGTCAGAGAGCGTGTGCCCTTTGAGATTGCAGTTTTGGGCTCAGCTTAATGGCCTTGTGATCCTAGGAGCACTTGGAGCGCTTCTTTCCAGTTTGGGGTCACTATGAGCAATGGCGGTGGTTTTCTGTCTCT